GTGGTTGCATTAGTTGTAGGGACTTATTGTTTATCTTTGCCTACGGGCTTATTATTAGAACTCAAAGATTGTTATTATGTACCTGCAATTTCTAGAAACATTACTTCAGTATCCGTTTTGGATAATATAGGATATTGTTTTGAAATTTCTAATGGATTGTTGTCCTTTAGTTTGAATGGTATTCTATTTGGAATTGCAAGATTATATATCAGATTATAAGTTCTTGATTTAAACAATAAGGATATTCTCAATGTTGAAACTAAGAAAGCTAAACATAGTGATCAAAACCATACATACCTTTGGCATTGTAGATTGGGTCATGTTAATCATACCCACATTGTAAAACTTCAAAGGGATCGAGTTTTGGACCCTTTTGACTTCCAGTCATGCCTTTTAGGCAAGATGACCAAGTCACCTTTCACAGGACAAAGTGAAAGGGCTACTGAATTGTTAGACATCATCCATAGTGATGTATGTGGTCCACTAACAGTTGAAGCCAGAGGTGGATAATCCTACTTCATCATATTTACTGATGATTTCAGTAGATATGGTTATGTCTACCTCATGAGACATAAATCTAAAGCCTTTGATAAGTTCAAAGAATTCAGGAATGAAGTACAGAATATGTTGGGCAAAAGTATTAAGGCTCTTCAGTCGGATCGAGGAGGTGAATACTTGAGCTTAGGGTTTTCTAAATACCTGAAAGAATGTGGGATAATAACACAACTCACCCCTTCGTAAACACCCCAACACAATGGAGTGCCTGAAAGAAGGAATATGACCTTACTTGATATGGTTAGGTCTATGATGAGTTTTAGTGACATGCCTGCATCATTCTGGAGTTATGCCCTAGAGACTGCGACTCACGTATTGAACCGTGTGCCATCAAATTTTGTAGATAAGACTCCATATGAACTATGGAGTGGGCGAAAGCCCAACTTATCTTATCTAAGGATTTGGGGTTATGAAACTTATATCAAGAAATTGACTTCGAACAAGCTGGGCCCAAAATCTGAGAGATGCATTTTTGTGGGGTATCTTAGGGAAACCAAAGGGTACTATTTCTACCACCCAGAAGAGCACAAAATTTGTGTCGTTCATACTAGTGTCTTCCTAGAAAAGGAATTTTTCCTAAGAGATACTAGTGGGAGAAAAGTAGAACTCGATGAAGTTCTAGAACCACAAGATACATTAGACCAAGGACGGGAAGGTGTGCCACATGAAGTGGTTGAACATCGTGAGGAGGTCACTCCACAATTTGTGGATCAAAGTGAACCACCTCAAGTAGCACATGAGCTACATAGATTATCTCGTGACTCAACGTGGTGACGTACTAGTCTACCAAGACGATGAACCTAGAACCTACGAAGACGTTATATCGGATCCAGATTCCGTTAAATGGCTTAAAGCCATGAAATCTGAGATGGACAAGAACCAAGTATGGTCTCTGGTGGAACCACCTGAAGAGGTAAAACCCATAGGGTGAAAATGGGTCTTCAAGAAGAAGGCTGACATGGATGGTAAGGTGCACACTTATAAGGCACGACTGGTTGCCAAAGGTTTCAAACAAATTCATGGTATTGACTATGAAAAAAAAAAACCTTTTTACCAGTTGCCATGATTAAATCCATCCAGACTATGCTTGCGATTGCTGCATATCATGACTATGAAATTTGGCAAATGGATGTCAAAACAACTTTCCTAAACGGAAACCTTGAAGAGGATGTGTATATGACACAACCCAATGGTTTCGTTCTTGATGGTCAAGCTGATAAGGTATGCAAGTTGTAGAGGTCCATTTATCGACTCAAGCAAGCTTCAAGGAGCTAAAACATTCGTTTCGATAAAGCTGTAAAAGAATTTGGTTTTATCAAGAACGAAGAGGAGCCCTATGTTTACAAGAAAGTGAGTGGGAGCGCAGTGGCATTCCTGGTGTTGTATGTCGATGACATACTTCTAATTGGGAATGATATACCAAACTTGTAGTTAGTTAAGACTTGGTTATCCAAGTGCTTCTCCATGAAGGACTTAGGAGAGGCAGCCTACATCCTTGGAAAAAAAAATCTACCAAGATAGATCACGTAGGTTGCTTAGCCTAAGTCAGAGTACATACATTGACAAGGTACTGAAAAGATTTAGTATGGAAGAATCCAAGAACGGATTTCTTCCAATGTCACATGGTGTTTATCTCTCTAAGGATATGTGTCCTAAAACACACAATGAGAGAGATAGAATGAAGAGGATCCCATATGCGTCAGCAATTGGATCCATCATGTATGCCATATTATGTACTCGGATTGATGTCTCATGTGCATTGAGCACTTGTAGTTAGAGGTGGGCAAGGGACCGATCCCTTGCTGGCCCAGGCCTGGGCCTGTTTGGGACTGGTCCCTTGGGACTAGTCCCAAATGGGACCAGTCACTCATGGGCCTGGGACCGGTCCCAGGCCCATGGGAAAAAACAGGACCCGGACCAGGCCCTAGGCTTGGTCGGGACTAGTCCCATGGGCCTAGGACCGGTCCCATGGGCCTTGGATAATTTTATTTTCCCCCCTCAATTTTTTTATATTTTGGGGGTAAAACAAAATTTTATAGAGGGTTTTTAGTATTTTTTAGGGGTAAAATTTATAAATTTTATATATTTTTTAGACCTGGAAGATTTTTTTTTTTTTTATAAATTTTATAAAATTTCATTTTAGCCCTCGTAATTTATATTTATTTTAAAATTAACAGAGGGTTTTATGTAATTTGATAGGGACTACATTGAAAAAATACAATTTTTTTTGGGCCCAGGCCCGAGCCTTGGAGGAGGGCCCAGTGGAGGGCCCGGGCCCTCCTCCTTAGGCCTGGTCCCGTTTTGGGACCAGGCCTCCTAGGTCCGGTCCTCTCAAGGACCGGTCCTAGGACCAGGTTTTAGAGCTGGGCTTTTGGGCCCGGTCCCAAATGCCCAGCTCTACTTGTAGTAGATATCAATCGGATCTAGGTAAGCATCACTAGATAGTTGCCAAGAACATTCTTAAGTACCTGAGGAGGACTAAGGACATGTTCTTGGTCTATGGAGGGAAGATGAGCTCACTGTAAGAGGATATAGTGATGCTAGTTTCCAAACGGATAAAGATGATTATTGATCACAATCAGGATTTGTATTTTGTCTCAATGGGGGTGTAATGAGCTGGAAGAGCTCCAAGCAAAGCACTGTAGCAGACTCTACAATGGAGGCTGAGTATATTGCATTATCCGATATAGCCAATGAGACAGTCTAGATTAAGAAGTTTGTTACCTAACTTGGTGTGGTTTCCACGATTGTTGATCCAATAGATGTCTATTGTGACAACAATGGAGCAATTGCTCAAGCAAAGGAACCACGGTCTCACCAGAAGTCCAGACACATGCTCAGACATTTTCATCTCATCAGAGAAATGGTTGAGAGGAAAGATGTACATATCAGTAAAGTGCATACTGATGACAATCTTGTCGATCCATTTACGAAGCCTCTGTCGCAGCAGAAGCATGAAAAACACTTAAGGTCATTCGGTATTAAATACATGAATGATTAACTATAGTGCAAGTGGGAGATTATTAGAGTAGGTACCCTAAAGCCAATCTATTATTGAAAAATTGACTTTGTAATAAATGTTTATTTATCAATAAAAGGCATATTCTTCTATATTGTGTAAATCATAGTTATATGTAATGATATATGTCATTAGGATGGTAGAATCGTGACGAGGGTATCAAGTGTTTCAAATCTTAATAGTGAGAACCTTATGATCACATATGGTGGCCATTCTAAAAATGTCTGTAGCCCTAGTATTATTCTGACCAAGGACACAGATAATACGGTAAGGTTGTCATAGTGTTGAACGACCCTGTCGAAAGGCAATGACTGATCTCACTTGTCAAGGTTGTTTGCCGACAACCTGGTGTAACACATGGGTGCTTGCTAGAGGCAAGTTCACTAGACAAACCCACCAAAGGATTCCATATGGATGGTAACCCTAGTGTCTATGGACTAAATCCTCTAACGGATGGTGATGCATGTGATCCTTAGACTTGAGATCACCGGAGCGCCTTGTGCACCAATTGGTGTAGTTTGACACTAGCCCAATGTAGTTCTATTCAGAGCTATCAATACAGTAGTGATTGGCTACATTAAGAAGTGCATCGAGACTATGGTGGACTCGACAAAGGATTTATCACTCCTAGGTACGGGAGAAGTTATCTCATTGAGTAATTTAGTAAATGGCAATGACACTAAATCTGTGGCCACAGTAGGATTGAGTTATTGCTCAATCCAATTTATTATTCCGGTCATTGGTCCATTAACTGAATACAAACATGTCGAGGATATCTGAGGTTGACATTATGTCTGTACCTCAGTCTCGATGAGATAATAGATGATGAAATGATTTGATTGCACGGTAACCATATCATTGACAAGCTGCGGTTTCGCTAAATCTGAATCTATCGGGTGGCCATGATGCCTTGCTAGGGGTCAATCTTGGTCTGTGTGTAATGAGACGATCAATTGGTGTTAGTCACGATACTACACACTATCGATATGATGAGGAGCCTACGGGTCACACACTTAGAAGATAATTTAAGAATAAATTTGTGAGAAGAGTATTTTCGTCTTTCAAGATGAAAGAGTATTTTAGTAATCTCACAGTGCAATTAAATTTGTTGAGGTTGTTGCTTGTATTTAATTTTAATATTAAAATTAAATTACTAAGATTATATTTAAATATATCTATGCATATATTTAAATGAATTATTATTATTAATTAAATGTTAATATATTATTATATATTAATTGATTTTAATTATAATAAAAATTAATTAATTAAAATACCATAAAAGGTGTGTTTGGTTGCAAAGGTAAATTAGGATTGGAGTCCATGGCTATTTCTTATTGGAATAGGGTTTTAATTGTTGCACTATATAAGTGCAACTTAAATTAAAACAAGAGAATTCATTCATTCATTCAATAAAGAAAGTAGATGGATAGTACATACATGTTCAACTTAGAAGGTCTCATTCCTAAACTTTGTCAATTGGCTCAAGAAGTGGGAGATGATGAAAGAGCTGTATGCCCACGTTCAGTTAGAATCCAAGCTCTCGCAAACATGGTACAGTTTTTTTACCTAGTGTATTACTTTGTGAATGCACATACCTACTGGAATGCAACCTCTCTCTAACATGGTACAGTTTATTTACCTAGCTTTATAAATGCACATTTAGATACACATACAATCAGACTTAATGCACGTTAATCTTTATGGCTAGTTCTTTTAAGTTTCTTTTTATAAATTCTTCTTTCTTCTGATGCTTAAAATCTATTTATGCAGACTGTTGTAATTTAAATTTTTTTTATGCAGACTGTTGTAATTTAATTGGTTTTTGGTACTTATATCTGCTTCGAAATGCCGTAACCATTTTTAGCTGTATACACTTTTTTTTTTGTTTTTGTAATCTTTTGCTTTTTTTTACTTCTAAACTTCTCTAAGGCATTTGATGAGGCGACTTAACATGATTGTTGAAGTACGGATTTGGTAAGGTTAGGTACATAGTAGTCCAAGCCCTACACTTTCTAGTCCTTCTTACATAGGAGATAATAAAGACCTAATTAATTTTAATTAAAATCTAACTAAAACGAGACAAGCTAACCTTTTAGTGAATAAGAATAATTTTTTGCTTTTGACTTGCATTCCTTGTTCAAGAGTGTGAGTGTGGCATCACTTTTTCCTGCTTGCAGGAAACGGTGATTGAACATGAAATCTGTTTCTAGTAGCAAGCTAGTTCTCTACATTACCTTTCTGGACCACATTGTCTGTCACTTCTTCTACTTGTCAACTGGCCCCTTTATCAGATGTAGAAGATGTTGAATTGATTTTATCATTTGGCCTTTAATACATGAATAGATAATTATTAAATTCTTTTCTCATAGCTCCAACGTATTCTGTTGACAAACTTAATTATTTTTTGGTTCAAATGTAGAGATTTCATTTGCTAATGTTGTGCCGCTTTTAATAATCTTTTCTCGCATCCTATGCTTAGGTGTGGTTCATGGGTGAGCAATCACATATCTCAATGGAAATTGACAATGTGAGTTTGTTTTTCCTCTTGTTGGTTCTTATTAGTGTTTTTTACTTACATTATATGTATAATTAATGTCATCTAGTTTATACGTGAATTTTGGAAAACATTTTTTTTCCTTATTATATTTTAAGTTGGACTATGAGGTACACACCAAGTGTGCACAGTGTTTTCTTTTCATATTAATTTGAAGTAATTTTCCATTCTAAAATAGATTATTTCAAGTGACTTTGGAGTACTATCTCAATCTTCAAATGAAACCAAAGGATGGTAAGGAAGCGAGGCAACGTTCTCAATCTCAGGACCAGTGGGTTCAAAGGGTGCTTAAAGAAGAATCTCATGGCTCATCTTTTCTAGATAGGAGTAAGAGGTTTTCTTCTCTCCAGAACCCTGTGACTAATCCTAATTTGTATTCAACAATGTAAGGCATCATTTTTTGTTTCTTGGGTATATATTCTTTATATAAGGAGATTTCTTAAATGTAGTTAACATACTTAGCTTTATATGCCAATTTTACAGTGATACTTCCAAGAACCTCTCTTACTCTTATTGGTTCAAAGTTTGCTTGAATAATATAGCCAAGTTGGCTAAGGAAGCTACAACAATGAGGCATGTGCTTGAACCCCTTTTCCATCAGATACAGGAGTTGCCTGTTGTGTTATATTGTACTTATAGTCATTTTTGGAGGAATCAGGTTACATATGGAATCTTAATGCTCCATCTTGCTGCAATTACGTTTTTATTAGTTTTTCTGTGAACATAATTGATATGAACCTTTTTTTTTTTTTTTTTTTTTNAGTCGATAGAATCTTTCATGTCCATCAAAACCCAAGAATTAGCCGTTGGCCATCTCCACCTTGTCCCATCCCAAATCTCACATACCTTAGCAAGATGATGTAGCCCCGAATTATACACAATGCGGCTGCCATATCTATCCTTGAGAGGGCCTCTTGGGTGCCAATTATCATGCCAAACATAAGTTGCTTGACCATTTCTGATGATGGCTTTGATGTGCTCTCTAGCTTCCCTTCAAAGCTTCAAAATGCTCCTCTAAGTCCAAGAAGCATCCGAAGGTATAGGAATCTCCCAAAAACTCTTCCTTGCCAAGTAAGTTGCTTTGATCCACTCAACCCATTCGAAGCCACTACGTAATTTATTAAGATTCCAAACATGTCTCATCATGGCTGCCTTATTCCAATCCTTATTGAATCATTGAATCATGTCCCATCATGGGTGTCATTTCTTTTTGGAGTGGCAACAGTATACATGTCCTTGAATTCCTAGCTTTTGAGGTATTTTTTATTTTATTTTTTGCTTACTTATAAGTTTCCTTTAATCTCATTTATCTTCATATTGAATCATTAACATAGCATCTGCCCGATTTTGAAATCATGAGCTTGCAAAAAGATTCGTTGTTGATTGGTTAATGTCACTAAACAGGCTCAAAACACAGCTACTGAATCTTATTTGGAGAGACCTTTAAAGCACAAGCCAGACAAAAGTGACTAACTGAAGAGATTGGTCGCAGCAATCAGTTTATCAATAGGTGCATCTCTTTATATATATATATATATATATATATATATATATTAAGTAAGTAATAATATTAAAAAAAGAGAAGAATGTACAAAGGCCTGATAAAGGGTGACCAGCCTATTTTGGGACATGCCCCAAAAACAGGAATCAAAAGAAACAAGCCTACAAATGGCCATTTGCTCTTGGAGTTTATCTTAAACCACGTAGGAAGATAAAAACCACGAAGAAAGCAATGAGAACACGACAAATTCCACCTACCATAGGACACCTCCCTAGGTTAGGATCATTAAAAGAAAAACAGGAGATCAAACTGATTACAAATGGTAAAAACACAACCAAGCAAAAACCATTCTGTGTAACCCTCCGTAATCCAGTCTTCAAACCGCATCGGGAACTTGAGGAATGTCTTTGAAAATAAACCATCTCTTTATATTCTTTATCCCCTGAGATATAAATGTACGTGCGTACATACAATTGATACGATTTGTTCGTCTTACATAATTAAAACCATCTTTGTTTTGCAGTATGATTCATCGTGGCATACTCTAGTACTCATAAATGGGATTCAAACTTTTGTTCAGTTGGTTACATACACATTGGATAGTTTACATTGTAAAATGATGATGAGAAGCTATCAAGTACAAGAGTTCATTGCATGCATTTTCTAAAATCCTGAAAACAGAGGCTGTTAGGTCTCTTTACAAAGGTGCAAGTGTACAGTCCTTAAAAATACTATCATTCTTGGTCTTCTATGGGCTAGTGTCAGGTTATTCCGAGCAAAATCACCTGCCAGAGATAGTAAGTCTGGTGATGAAAATGGTGAAGGAAGTTCCAGTTAATTAGTATTGTTATATGGAATAAGGGTTGAGATGTCGGTCAAGGCATGATATGACGATTAAAAAAAAAACAAAAATTATGCTTTATTTTTCATTTGAGATTACAGGAGAGCTGTGATGTTTAACCACTGTTTTAAAAGCCGGATCGGACCGGCCGGTCCAGGAACCGGTCACGTGTCTGGTTCGAGTCAACCCTAAAACCGCCATTATTAATTGAGCTGCTTTAAACCGTTAAAAAACCACATAATATCAGTGAACCGCCGGTCCAATCAGACCGGTCTACAAAAATTTATCAACTTCGTCTCTGTTGTCTGTTCTCTGCGAAAATTCTCACGGTTTTGGCCCTGTCTTCTGTTCTCTCTGAAATCCCACCCAAATCGTATCTGAACTCTCTGAAATCAACGACGACGTCTTCCTCCCTCGCCGAAAATCGACGACGTCTTCTCCCTCGCCGGAAATCGACGATGTCTTCTCCCTCTCCGGAAATCGACGATGACAGCTCCGTTCCTCGCTGGAAATCGATGGTGACAGCTCTATTTGTTGACGATAGCTCCATTCCTCGATCCAAGTAATAAACACGTCATTCCTCGGTCCAGCTTCAATAATCAATAATGATTTCGTTGCAAACTTTATCTAGAGTAATGTGTATGTGCATTTATTTCCAGACTATGTATTTGAATTCACCCTACACCTGTTCCTGATTTTGTTTTTCTCTTCCAGATAATCAAATATTGGTTTAACCAAAATTCTCATGTAGATAATCCTTTCATTTGAAGTTTGCATGCCCATTTGAAGTTTGGTTTTTGAAGCAGTGAGATCGGGACGAAATTGATAGCAGTAAAATTATCATCATGTAGATAATCCAGATTATGTTTTTTTTTTTTTTTTTTTTTGGATAAAATTATCATTATGTTTTTGAAGTTTGTATGTGCAACATTGCTTTAACCAAAATCATCATGTAGATAATCCAGATTATGTATTTGAAGTTTGTATGTGCAATATTGCTTTAACCAAAATTATCATGTAGATAATCCAGATTATGTATTTGAATTCCGTACTCGAATGTTTATGTTTTACTTCTATTGTATGTTTGTGGATGGAATAAAGACTTATGACGACAATATGTTGCATGATCAATCGATTATATGCTTTGGTTTCTCATGTAGTTAACCTTTCTTTCTTTCTTTCTTTATCAATCGATCTCATCAACCATATCCACTACATTATATACTTTGGTTTAACCACCACCGAAATCTTAAAAAAGAACACTAAAAAGCAAAGTTGATGTGGGAAAAAACAAAGGAAAAAAGATACTATAATGGAGGGCTGTGATTGATCTTATCTGTAAGAATACGTACAAATGGATTAAAAAGAGAACCAGAAAAGGAATATGTTAGATATAAAAGGGGCTCATGTATAAGGAAACAAAGAAATCATATTATTGTGTAGTTTAAAAATGTTTTTTTTTTTAAATGTGTTGACATCATCATGATGTGTGATGACCTCACCGGTCCAACCGGTTGGACCAGTTGAACCATGACCCAGCCATTAGAGCGGGTTGCCCTCCGATTCGGTTTTTAAAACAATGTATTTAACCACATGAACACATTTGATGCTTTGTTTTAAAAATCGGACCGGACCGGCCGGTCGGACCGGTTGGACCAAGAACCGGTAGCTTCTCCGGTCCGCTTTAGGTCTCAGGGGGGTTTTTGAAATATTTTAAAATTATGAGGGTTACTTTGTAATTTTATAGGGGTATTTTGAAGATATGTCAAAAGTTTAGGGATTAAATGGTAATTTTATTGGGGTATTTTTGGAATAAATAAAAATTTTAGGGACCAATTTGAACTTTTTTAGGAAAATTTTTGTAATATATTGAGATTTAAGGGGTTAATATGTAATTTTTTAAAAATAAAATATTGCTGATGTCATCGGTCCAACCAACCGGTCCAACCGGTTGGACCGATTGACCCGGACAGCAAAACGGTTTGCCCTCCAGTCCGAGTTTTAAAACAATGATTTGATGTTTAATGTTTTACCGATGGATGTAGTTGTAATGAGATTAATTTAATAGGAAGACATAATCCCACTGATCTTTTACTTGTTACAAAATTCCCACAGCTAAGCATTCGACAACCCCCTTCTTTTTTACGCAATTTATAAGCTATTGAACAATATATATATATAGGGGGGAAGGTTCCACAACCCCTCTTATTTAACACAAGTTTATGTCCTTTAGATTAAAGAAAAATTAATGGAGAAAGAGTATTACTAGAAGTGATCATTATAGGTTTTACCCTATCAACAATTTTAAATCTTAATAAATTAGTTAAGGTGCATACAAACTTATCTAAATACCTTTGGTTAAAAAAAAATTAATAGTCAAGATAAGNAACATAACACTCAAACAAACAAATATAACAAAAACCAACTCGATTAAGGGCGAAAGAGGAAACAATAACAACGTACCTCAAGTGGGGCGTTACATTATAATGTTTCATATGTCAAGATTTTGTTGAATGATGCACATTTACTAGGAATCAGTCTTCAAAGAATCCCAACTCTGCTCAAGTTACTTGGGTTGCAGGTTAGTAGAAACATGAAAATAAATGTACGTAGGTACATACAATTGATACATTTTGTCCGTTTTACGTAATTAATACTTTCTTTCTTTGGCAGTATGACTCTTGGTGGCATACTCCAGTACTCATAAATGGGATTCAAACTTTTGTTCAGTTGGTTAAATACCCATTTGATACTTTACATTGTAAAATGATGATGAGATCAAGAGAAGCTATCAAGTACAAGAGTCTATTGCATGCATTTTCTCAAATCCTGAAAACAGAGGGTGTTAGGTCTCTTTACAAAAGGTGCAAGTGTACAAGTCCTTAAAAATACTAGCATTCTTGGTCTTCTATCAGCTTATTCCGAGCAAAACCCATGTTTAACTACATGAATACATTTGATATTTAATGTTTTACTGATGGATGTAGTTGTAATGAGATTAATTTAATAGGAAGACATAGTCTCATTGATCTTTTACTTGTTACGAAATTCCCATAGCTAAGAATTCGGCAACCCCTTTCTTTTCTACCCAAAATATAACACAATTTATAAGCTACTATTGAACAATATATATATGAGGGAAGTTGAGATGCATGCAAATTCGTCTAAACACCTCGGGTGATTAGAAAAAAAAAAAAAAAAAAAAAGGGGTCAAGGTTAGAATGAGTTAGAAATCACACACTTTTAATCAAGCCGTTTAAAAGTATTCCTAAACAAATTTAATTAATAAAATAAGTGACTCATATTATTTTTGTACCATTATTCAAATATATGTACAAACTACGTTATATTAAATTATCGTACACAAAGTGTGACAACAGTCACCAAATTATCAAAGTCATCATTTTATTTATTTTTATATATCTTTAATATTCTCAAACTCTTTTTATCATATATCCTCATACAAAACTCTATATTTTAATCATACAATGTTACTCATCAATGCAAAAAAAAAAAAACTAAAATAATATAAAATATTGAAAAATGAAAAAAAAAAAAANATTTTAGGAAGTGTTACAAGAGAATAAGTTTGGATCCTATTGATGAAGGTTGGATAGTTGACGATGAAGAGGAGGAAAAGGTCAGTGAACTTAATTATGAGCAGTTGGAACAAATATTATATGGAGAAGGATCTATTCCTATTGGAGTTGCTGATCACCCTTCTTTATCACCCTTCTTTTTATGATTCAACCGATGGTTCAGAAGGTTGGTTTCAATTATTTAAACAACTCAGTATCTATTTAAATTAAATTACAAGTTTTAACTTATGATTTCTATTTTTTATTGAAATTTGCGTAGATAATGGTGATGAATTTTGATGCTAGTGTGTGACACTTAATCAACATAGAGACGGATCAAAGAAAAAATACTTGCATCAAATGTTTTGTTATTAATTATTATGTATTTTGTCATTTGATATGTAAATACATCATATTTGAAATTGAACTTTGAATTGTTGTTAAATACTTAAATTATGTTAAAATTGTTATTGAATTTGAACTTTAAATCATGTTGGACAGTAATTAAGTTATTGTCTTATCAAAAAATAAAAATCTAAAAAAAAAAATTTATTTTTTTTAAAATGTGCTGATGTTATCATGATATGTGAGATGTTAGCGGTCCAACCGTTGACCATCAAAGCGGTTTGCCCTCCGATTCGGTTTTTAAAACAATGCTCTCAACACCCCATTTTTTCAATGCACTCTGTCACATTATTTTTTTGTTAAATTCATCATCAAGAGTATTCTTTCTAAAGCAAAAAAAAAAAAAAAATAAATAAATAAAAAATAAAACTTGTAACTAATGCAAAATCAATAAATCATAATCTATAAAGAACACATTGAAAACAAAAGTTTTGCATGAACATATACAATGATACTAATCCAATCAAATGCACTATAGATCATTTATTTCCTGTAATATTAGAGATGTGAAGAGTATAATTTGATATTTTATAGTATAATGCGATATTGGGACCTTTAGTTCCCTTTTTCACAATGAATGGGTCGAATGAAATTTTGCTTGGCAGAATTAATCAGAAATGAATTTAAGCTAACCTATTATGCTATTTCCTTCTACTCTGGAACAACAAAAAATGATTTTCGTAAGCAAAACCGAAAAATCTTCTAAACAGAAAAAGTTGAAAAAATAAATACAGTAACAAAACAAGTCTTGCAAAGCCCGGGGAAAGGAATGATTTGACANGTGATGAACTCAAAATTACCTTACGGCAACAAGTTTTAGCTTCCTCACCACTTCCTATTTGTTGTCAAATAAATACCCTATGTGCAACTCCGATCCATCCGTAAAAACATGAGCTGATTCACTACTACCTCCAATTGCCCCTTCTGAACCTGCATAAACGACCATAGTGTTCTCTTCCTCACAATCTACGCCTTCTGCATAATCTGTATTTAAAGGAATCTCTACATCTGTGGGAACATCTACGGGGTCCTCCTTTTCAACATTTTCATTCTGCCCCCCATCACCAACCTCTTCTACAGTGTCTTCCTCACCACCCAATTCACCGTCTACTCTTGATTTTTCAACTAACAAATCAATGGCCTGGTAGTTCGAATTAAAACTAGACAAATTTCCGGCTACTTCCTCGTTATCTCCTTCCTTTAAACCAACTTCCAACGGTTTTTCTACAAAAGAAACCCTTAAAATTGACCTCGAACCATTATCAGCCACATCAATCATATATAACTTCACACTTTCATCCGACTTTAATATAGCAGGAGGTACCTTATAATGTTCAGGAACTCTGCTTAAAACATACTTCACAACTATATCACTACGCGAGCAACTCAAATTACCTCTTCTAATTATTTCATCAATTAACTCATCAAAACTAACCTCTGTGCTCACAGCAATTGGTATAACTTCTTTGCTCTTCCCAATCCACTTCCAGCTACTTTCTTCCTCCACCCACTCACCAAAATATTTAACACCCAAAATAACTTGTCCCATGTGTAATAATAGCCAACTACCTGTAATGCAAGAAAAAAAAATATTCTTAAATGCTGTACTAAGGGTTCAAATATTTTAAAAAGAATCTGCACAGTCGCTTACATGGTTTGCTGTATCGCTTAAGCGATCTTATACCATTTACTGATCGCTTAAGCGATCTGCTCGTATACACTAGACTTTTACCAAATCGCTTAAGCGATCTATCTGCTGTATTACTAGACCTACCAGATCGCTTAAGCGATCCATCATACCTAAAACACATTTTCAGTCATCTCCACCTACAATCGATCCATCATACCCAGAATATATACCCAGAACAAATTTTCAACAAATTTCACTCTTTTCAACTTGCATTACATCAAACACAACCTAAACAACTAAATCAAAATCATAACCCAAACCCCATCGATTATTAAATCTTTGTAAATCTAAATATAAAATGTAAAAAGGAGATACACATATTTAGACGAAATGTCAAGATGAGGAGGAGAGGGATCTTTGATAGAGAAGATGTTAATGGTGGAGGAAGAAGAAAGTGTTAATGGCGGAGGAACAAGAAGATATAGAGGAATGAGAAAGAAGAAGATGAAGAGGAAGGAGGAAGAAGAAGAAGATGCAGAGGAAGGAGAAGATGTAGACGAATCTAAGAAGAAACAGCAACCAAGGTAGAGATGCGTTAATGGCGGGAGGAAGAAAAAGGTGTTTGGGTTTGTTTGCAAGAATTTCGGGTTTTTGGGAATATAGTATAATTTTGAAAAGATTACATAATACTTCATTAATCCTAATTAAGCACTAATTACCCTTAATCAATAATATTGTTATTTAGTTAACACTTTAAAACTTGATAGCTTTTTAATTAAATTCAAACTTCATATGACCTTTTAATAAACTACCCCTAGATTAGGGGTCAATTTTACTATAAACGGTTGTCAACATTTTTACCCATCTACGTTATCATACATAGAGCAATTAAATACCATTTTTACCCTTATCAGCATGGAATGAATCATATATTTTTTTTTTAACCCAGTAAACATAGTTATAAATTGTAATTTGGCAAATCCAACAAAGCATAAAAGCTTTTTATTGTAGTCTATGTACATCTCCATTTCTACAACACATAACTTATGTTACAAGTACATCTCCATTTCTACAACACATAACTTATGTTACAAGTAACATATAGTAACTTGATTTGGTGCATACGCCTACCTATGTGCAGAAAGAACTGGGAAACAAAGCAATCTACTGTGTCAGAAACTACACTTTACAAACACTTTTTGAATGCTAATAAGAAGCAAGGTTAATGAGTTCGTATGATTAACGCAGGGCAAGCACAAAAAGTAGAAAGGGTAATTTTTCTGATTTCTAATGAAAAACAATTTTTATGCTTCTTGTTTAAAGAAGCCTTCAAGACCATGTGATGGGCCATCCAGATGCAACAGAGTGCAGCTGCTTCAAGGCCAATTAGCTTAGTGTATGCGATCCAATGGCTTGTAAATAAGGATGTTCAAATGTTTTATCCTGCATTATCAATATGAACATTAGCAGAAGTCTGCAAATGAGCTTGCAGTGACGATGTATAAAACAAAAGTAAAATATCATGTCTATTATTAATAAGCAATGCACCATTCAGGCAAAATGTTCGACAGTGGAAACTCGATATCCTCAATGTACTTAATAAGCATCTTATACTGTGTCCATCACCTTTTGAACATTCTTCTCATGGCAATTGGCAAATATTTATGTTCACATGGTATTTTGCAAATTGATGGTAGCAAAGGCTACGAAGCTAAGGACAAACAATAAGACACCAGCATTCCCAAATCCCAACTACCCTCATAGCCCATCAAAATAACTCTTAGGGGCTTCAGATACATAATTCATCTATGACAATGGAGCTATGATATTCTGATGATAACAATACTTAGGAATTTGGAAAGCTCCTGAGATATAGTTTCCTTTATAAACTCGTTTCTTTTCTTCTAAATTTTGTGAAGGTAAGACATCTTTAAACTAAGATTATAAACTCTTCAAAAGGGCTAATCAATGTTAAACATTAAGACCTTCGGGAGGGAAAATGATGGGTCAAATTTATGACTAATTATAGGCATCAATGGAGGGTAGTAGGCATCAACTTAAAAGCTTGAATAATAGTGGTATAGACACTAAAAAATTAGCAATAACATGATATAGTAGTAAATGCAAGCATCAAACTGCACTACAAACCTGAAGCATGTGATCTATCCGTCCTTCTGCACTTCCAGTTAGCCTCTCCATCATTATAACACCATATGATCTTTCTTCTCTTTCTTCGGCATTTTCTGCCACTGCAATACACACAAAAAGATTGTTGACTACATTAAAAAAATATGGAAAGAAATCAACATAGATTAAGTGAAATTTCATTTATGGGATCAGAGCTTTGTTGTTTATTTTTCATATTATCCTTTTTACTACTGAACAATGGAGAGGAACCGTAAGTAAGAGAATGGTGGGTCCCTTCAGCCATTGTTACTCATATGTACAAAAGGAGGACAACATGAGGAAACAGAAAAGCACTAAAACAATAGCAGTAGAAGATTATATTACCTTCTAGGGCATCTGCATTTCTCGATTGACAAACTGTAAGTACTTTAGCCTGTTTCAATAGCATAAAACTCAGAGCTTCAATACTCGCACATGATCAGAAACCAAAGACTTCAAAACATGTACATGATAATTTTGGGTAAACTTAAGAACTAAAGGTCAACTAATATTAAATAGATACATCGATGTTATATATACATAAAAACATATATATATGAATAGCTACTGAGTCGGAATTTCATCAAAATTAATTTTCTCTAACAGTGAACAAAAAAAACCACCCTTAGATACATACATAATATTTAGTTCAAATTGAGAGGAAAAAAAATGACAGTCTGACGATTATGCTCAGTCTGGGATAAGTAAAAAAAGAGCTACACCGACAAAGTTGAACCTCTGATGAATTTAATTATCATAAAAGTTATTCTCAAAAACAGAATTTTAACTTCTGAGGGAGATATAAAGAACAACAATGAGTCTCAATTCTTAAGCAAATACAATACTTAACTCTAAATTCAAACTGGTCATTTTATATTGGCTATGCATGTATATATAGAAATTATTAATTAGTCTGAGCAGGATAGTGAAAGCATAAACCGATAAAGCTCAATTTATAAACATGTAGCATAGTCTATATTACAAAGTTGAGAAATGAAAGGCCTGAACACCGTCATGCTCTATAGTAAGTGTAAAGAAATAAGATAAGCCCAAAAACTGAACAATAAAAAAGAAATATGCCTTTGAAGAAGTTGAAAAGAGAAACTAAAATGAATAGTATCAGAACGCACCCTTACAGAGTTGAACTGGTCCACTATTGCCTGAGAACAAGCAGCTACTTCTTCGGTAAATTCCTAATTCACATATATAAGGACGCATTAGAAAGTGGGAAAATTTCTTTTAAACAAAAAATGCTGCACAAAGAGAGAAAGAGGAAAAATTTTAAAACCTTAATTGTGTGGTGCTATAGGGAGCTTACCTGGAATCCTATATGCAGCCTCTTTCCACCTCTATGGTAAGGAATAATAACTGGATGTACGGTGAGGAACTCTTTACAAACAAGTGGCTCTACTCTCTGTAAGAAACCACAACACAACATCCATTATACTTTCCAGATTTATAAAATATTAAAGACAAAAATAGAAAAGAAAAAAACGTATAAAAACATACATGTCATTCACAAGAAAATAAAGCATTCAAAATAATCATAGTCACATGGGTTTTGTTCTGAGTCAAGAAATGTGCAAACGCATGTGTAACATGAGTTACTGGATTCTTTTCACCTTGTGCAAGACTTTTTGGCATTTAATAAAATACTCAAATGTGCAAACTTTGAACCAAATAAATATTTTTTAATTTGATTTAAAAAGAGGATGTCAGCAGAGGTGGGACATTAGGAAGAAAAAACCATAAACTTGTAAGAGAGCAAAGAGAGAGAGAGGGAAAAGAAACAGGGAGAAATAGCGAAAGACTAAATTCATTTTTCCAATATTCTTGATTTTTGTTAATTATATATTTACTATTACCGTATAGACTCTTTAATGGGCTTTAGAAAGCTTTAAGTACAAGAACAATATCCCTTTAGATAAAAATGTTCCTAGTTTGCTAAACAATGAAATATCCCAAATTTCTATTTATGATGTTTACAAGAAAAAACTTAATAAAATTAAATATCACGTCATTCTAAGATATATACATTTAAAATGTTAACATATACAAAATAAGTCTGAATAAATAGATGGTGATTTTTCTTATAAGAAATTGATAATATGTATTAGAACAACATGAGTTACACTGGTGGACAAGCTGCCAACAAAAGAACAAAAAAAATCAGGGTAGGGGTAACAAATCTATACAAGAGAAGAAGATAAAAACTAGGTGGTGATAATTTTCCTTATCCTGGCCAAATGAAACCAAACTATACATATTAACCCAAAATCCCTTCCCAGTTAAGATGTATAAACAAAAAAGAACAATCTTATTCCCGAAGAAAAGTTAAAATAGTCAAAATCTATCACATAATTCCCATTGTTACTTCTCTTTGCTTAGCATAAACCAATGGTAATTTCAAAACTTTAAATATGATGGTTCCTCATTGCATTCACAGGCTTTCACAGTGCCGGTGAGGTGTTTCAAATAATAATGACATGCCATTATTGCAGCATTTTGTGGCGAAATACAGTCCACCACTTAAAAGGTCAGAAAAAAACAAATAGAGTATACTGTAGCATTGTAATGGATGTGCAAGACAAACTTATTTGCTACAGGATCATATGGGTGAGAAATGTTTAACATTTGACAACAAGCCGGCATCTCTTCAATTGTATTTTCTTCATCCCAATAATCTTGTCCTTTTCCTGAACAGAGAAGGAAAAAAGAACTAAAAAACTGGACTTCTGGAGCTTCAAGTATGGAACCAAGTATAATAGAAGTTCCGAAGAAAAAAGCAGAAATTAAAATTAAAATCAACAAAAGATGAAGATGTTTAGAGGATAGTTGAAAATACGAATTTTTTGTGTTGAAAATGTATGATTGCCTGAACTAGCATCAAAATACACAAGAATTTATTACATATTACATATCTATGAGCTTTTAAAAAAACATACAATTGCTAATAACAAAAACTGCCAAACTTACAGGCAAAGTAATAAAAACAAATTCTTCTAACTAATCATAATTTATCCTGAATTTCCCACTCAAATTGATGTAAAATCAAATCCAATAACGAAAACGTGAAAACCTTTAAACTTCAATAAATATCTAACGAGATTCTAAAGATGAAAATATTTCTCAAAACCGTGAGGAACAAAAGTAATACTTCATTATCCACACCCACGACCAAAAGCTATAAATATTTACAAATATACAAAATACTTCTCTGAATGTCATGTCCCAACAGTGAAATATTCACTCATCAAAATTTCAATCATACAAGTGTATTGAGGATTACCTATTCCAATACAGATATTTTGGAGGGCAAGGAAAACACCAAGAGGTGATCCAACAGCAAAGAATGTGTCAACCTAATATGTAAGAATTAATGGGAAATCAGTAACAAGATTCATCATCTTAAATTTATAGCTCGTAAGAAGTTCCGTTTCTGACCTTGAATTCGAGCTTTGTGTACTTAATATAAGGGGTATATCTTAATGTGAGGGGTATAACTCTCTGGTTCATCATCTAGCATAGGTTCAAGCTTCTCAGAAATGGGTTGCTTTGGCTCAGTGGCAAGTAACTCATTTTTATCTGTTTATGCAGCCAATAAAACCCAGAGATATTAACACACAAGAGCTCCTTCCATAACACAGAACCAAAAATAGAATGTGAAGATCAAAGCTTAACCCTATGCAAGCCTACACGTACCTCTACCTTGATTGTACAATTCCAGGTCTGCTATTTTGGCTTTCAGGGAATCAATCTGAAACACAGAAAATTTCATTAAAAAGTGGTTTTTATTATTATGAGCCAAAGATTTCACAAAAAGTATCTAGCAAGAAAAGGTCAATTTTATATCCTTGGCTCATTAAACAAGATGTGACCATACTTATGAATAAAAGACAAATGCATATAGTGTTCAAAGAAAGCCAACAAGAAAACAGTACAAATTTGCACCTCTTTCTTCAGAAGATCAATTGTGGTGTTGTCCTTATCACATGTATCTTTGGACTCTTCCTCAGCCGCTCTCTCCAGTATACCATCCAGGACACCACCGTTCATGCGGTTAGCTTCATTGAAGCCAGCCTTATCTGATGACATTGTGTCACTAGAACTTTGAACCAATAGATCAATATCTTCTTTAGCTGTCTGCTCAGAGTCTGTAGCTGTTGCAGTATCTGAGACGACAGTACCCACAAGAGAGGAAAAATCTTCAGCAGGTGCTTCCTTGTGCTCTAGATGAGTTGATTGTACACTCATCTTGTCCTCGTCAGCAGACCCCACCTTATCCTCAGTTTCATTTGTTTCAGTGGAGCTTTTACCCTTTGAAACAACAGTGTTTGTGAAATATGCTGCTTGATTATTTCCCTAAGCAAAATGGGAATTTATACAATGTACAAGTTACATGAATTACGAAAGAATTGATCCTAAATAATCAAGGATATACACACACTATTAGTCTACCATATTTACACAAATCAATCTAGGAAATACTATCTCTATTTTCCTAATATATCTTAACAGTCAATCTAGGAAATAATATCTCTATTTTCCTAATATATCTTAACACTCCCCCTCAAGCTGGAGCATATATGTCATATGTTCCAAGCTTGTTACAAATGTATCCGATTCGGGAACCTCTGAGAGACTTAGTAAGAACATCTGCTAGCTGGTCATTAGAGTTGACAAAACTGGTGACAATGCATTCGGATTCAATCTTCTGTCGGATAAAATGACAATCAACCTCTATATGCTTTGTTCTTTCGTGAAAGACTGGATTTGAGGCAATATGCAGAGCAGCTTGATTGTCGCATATTAGTTTCATCTGCTTCACTTCATTACACCCCAATTCTTGAAGAAGTTGTTTCAACCAGATGAGCTCACAAGTCGCGAGAGCCATAGCCCGATATTCTGTCTCTGCACTTGATCTAGCTACTACATCTTGCTTCTTACTCTTCCAAGATATTAGATTACCTCCAATCATGAAACAGTATCCAAAAGTAAATCGTCTATCTGATGGAGACCCTACCCAATCAGCATTAGAATACCCAACAATTTGAGAATGACCCCTATTTTCATATAGCAAGCCTTGTCTTGGAGCTCCTTTAATATACTTGAGAATGCGAACTGCTGCGTCCCAATGACCACTACATGGGGCCTGGAGAAATTGGCTAACCACACTAACTGCAAAGGAGATATATGGTCTGGTGATTGTGAGATAATTCAGCTTACCAACCAATTTTCAATACCTTCCAGGGTCTTCTATGGCTCCTCCTATCCAGGAACAAGTTTGACATTGGGATCCATAGGAGAATCTACAGGCTTACAGTCTAACAAACCTGTCTCCTCAAGAATGTCCAAGGAATACTTCCTTTGTGATATAGCAATACCAGCCTTAGACTGTGCTACCTCAATCCCCAGAAAATACTTTAGCTTCCCCAAGTCCTTGGTTTGAAAGTGGCTAAATAGATGCTGCTTCAGTTGAGAAATCCCATCTTGGTCATTACCTGTTATGACAATGTCATCAACATAGACAACCAAGTATATAAATTTACCATGATCATTACGGCGGAAAAATACTGAATGATCAGCTGTACTTCGCGACATCCCAAATTGTTGAATCACAGAACTGAACCGTCCAAACCATGCTCTAGGTGACTACTTGAGACCATATAAAGACCGTAGAATAAACTTGGGATTAGTAGGAGGACAAGGACGACGAGAATAAACTTAGAGAGGAGGACGATCCATCGACGAGGAAGGAGGGATGGGGATAGGTAAGGTGGCAGGGATAAGATTGCTATTGACGGTGTTTTCAGAAAAGTATGGAGATGTCTCAAAGAAAGTTACATCTGCAGAAACAAAATATTTGTTGGTGGTTGGGTCATAGCAACGGTAACCTTTTTAGAGACGAGAATATCCTAAGAAGATACACTTAACAGATTTAGGCTATAATTTGTCTTTGCCTGGAGTGTGATCATGAACAAAGCAAATGCAACCAAACACCCGTAAATGTATTGGGTATGGGTCTTTACTAGGAAACAGAATAGAGTGAGGACTCTTATGTTGCAAGACAGAAGAAGGCATACGGTTAATCATGTAACAAGCGGTGAGAACTGCATCCCCCCAAAATCGAAGAGGAACATGATGATGTATAAGTAAGGTACAGGCTGTTTCAATAAGATGACGATTTTTGCGTTTGGCAACCCCATTCTGCTGAGGAGTATAGGCACATGAGGTATGGTGAATAATACCCTGAGAAAACATATACTTTGTAAAGGGAGAAGATAGATATTCCTTAGCATTATCACTACGCAAAATCTTAATAGAAACACCAAATTGATTACGAATCTCAGCACAAAAATTCTGAAAGATAGAAAATAACCCAGAACGAGTTTTCATTAAAAATACCTAAGTATTACGAGAATAGTCATCTATAAAAGTAACAAAATAATAAAAACCCAAAGTTGAACTAACACGACTAGGACCCCAAATGTCTGTGTGAACAATGTCAAACATTGAGATGGCCCTATTATTGACTCGCTTGGGAAAGGAAGCTCTAGTTTGTTTTCCAAGTTGACATGACTCACAATTAAAAGAAGATAATGTAGACAGACTAGATACTAATTTCTGAAATTTGGTAAGACTTGGATGACCAAGGCGACTATGAAGAATGTCGGTAGACGCAGCAGAGGTGAAGGCAACTGGCGGATTTGGATCGAAAAGGTGGTACAGTCCATGTGATTGATGTCTTGTTCCAATCGTCTGACTTGTGTTCCAATCCTGCACCACAACAGAGTCAGCAAAAAAGGTGACAGAACAGTTAAGATATTTGGTTAACTTACTAATAGAAATCAGATTATATGGACAGTCAAGGGCGAATAAGATTGAGTTTAAAGAAGTGGAAGGAAGTGGTCGAGCTTCTCCTATCCCTTTGACCATAGTCTGTGAACCATTAGCAAGAGTAATTTTTGATAAAGTGGGAGAAGAGGTAATTTCAGATAAAAGATTTTTATTACCAGAAATGTAGTCAGATGCTCTGGAATCCAAAATCCATGGGCCAGTGGAGGAGGTCCTGCTCAGATAGGCAAATGAATTACCAGTTTGGGAGGCACCAGATGAGGATGACTGCTGCTTGACAACTTGATATTGAAGATACTCATTATAATCAGCCCCAGACAATGTAATGGAGTTGGATTGTTGATCTTTAGCATCGGGTAAGGGAAAGAGTCCATCTCCAGTTGCTTGAGCCATATGAGCGGTGGATTGATTAGAAGATTGACGTGGTGGCCTCCCATGCAAAGCCCAACAAGTGTCTCGGTTGTGGCCATTCTTGTCACAATAGGTGCAATGTGGTCTAGATCCCTTTCCTTTTCCCTTTTGAGAACCACTCTGTCCTTGCTAATTTCCTGCCTGAATAGCTAATACAGATGTCTCAACCTCATTAGTACCGCCTAGGTTTAAAGAAAGACGCAGTAATCGAGCAAATACATCTTCCAAAGATGGTATGGTAGGCTAGCTAAAATTTGATCTTGAATAGAACCAAGGTCAGATCGTAGTCCGATTAAGGCTAGGACCATAAAGAATTTGTCACGTTGTCTCTCTTGTTCAGTGGTACTATCAGATACTGGCATAAGGGAATCAAATTGATCTTTTAAAGTCTTTATCTGCCCTAAATAGCTCTCCATATCTTGATTATTTTGTTGAAGGTGGACAATATCAGAAACAACTCTATATATTCTTTGCACATCATTCGTATACAAAGTTTTTGCTTTGGTCCAGACCTTACAACAAGTTTTACATGATTGAAACAAATTAAGCAGTTTAGGGTCTAAAGAATGCCAAAGGAGACTACATAACTGAGCATCAACTTTAACCCAACTAGCCCTCTCAGTAGTAGAAATATCAGTGGATGTTTTGCTTAAGTGATCATCATAACCCTGCCCCATAAACCATAACTCTACTGAAGCAGCCCATGACACATAATTACTACTACCCTGAAGCTTGACTGTAGTAATTGTTGGAGAACTAGAAATAGAAGAGAAGAATGGTTTGATATCACCTGATTTTGATGCTTCTGCCATTGTAATCAAGAGAAGTGAGAGATAAATCCAAAACGGTAGAAACACCCTCTGTCAGAGTTGAATCACCAACAAGAAGGAAGAACTGGAGGAAACCGATCGCCTGAGAAGAACCAAAAGATGCCGACGAACCAAGAGAATCGAGAAATAAACTCCCCAAAAGCAAAGAGGAGCACCTCCTTTAAAGATATGTTTTAGGGTTTTTTGAAATAGATGGATTTAGAAGAAGAAGAAGGCCAAGAACCAACCTGGCTATGATACCATGAAACAACAGTATTTGTGAAATATGTTGCTTGATCATTTCCCCAAGCAAGATGGGAATTTATACAATGTACAAGTTACATGAATTAGGAAAGAATTGATCCTAAATAATCAAGGATATACACACAATATTAGTCTACCATATTTACACAAATCAATTTAGGAAATACTATCTCTATTTTCCTAATATATCTTAACAGTCAATCTAGGAAATTATATCTCTATTTTCCTAATATATCTTAACACCCTTAAAATCGGTTGATGAGTCACCAGTAGAAGGTTGATTGTTCATAGCATGGGAAGATTCTTCAATGGTATCTTGTTGTTCCTTGTACATCCAATCCATTGGAAACGGGGATGATAGATTCTCTTGATGGCAAAGGATGTCATACGACAGGACACTTCCGAAGGAATGACCATATATAGAAACCTAAACAAATGTTAATATAAGCTAAATTGTCACTTAATCATTACAGCCTAACAAAGAGATATCAGCCGCATACCTTTCCGTCATAGCCAAAAATTCGTTTACGAAATTTCAGATATAATCGATTTAATTGGTTTGAAACCTGGAGGAGCAGAAGTGCATCTTCATCAGTTCAAACTTCAAATAAATTTCAAATTTCAACCTTAACAGACTAAAATGTGACTGTTTTATGCTCAAGACATCAGCTACTTGTTTCTTTTTTTAAGACCACAAGGAATTATAACATAATCATTGCCAAAAGAAAATGTGACTGTTTATGCTCAAGACATCAGCTACATTTTTCTTTTAAGACTACAAAGAATTATAGCATAGCATTTGCCAAAAGAAAATGTCATTATCTGTCTATGCTCAAGATATCTCCAACAGACCAATGTTTTAGTTTAGTCTGCATAGGATGAAGAAGCAATTTTAAAACTTTTTTTGATAGGAAACTTCGACGTATACTGCTTTGGAAAAATAAGATAGTGGATCAGGTATCCACTACTACAAAACAACCCATCTAATTATGGTCTAAAGCTTTAGAAAGACTATCATGAACCTGTGCAGAAAAATGTCATTTTAAACAAGGAACCTGGATTGAAAGAAGCTTTATAGTTGAATAATGAAACATCTTAGTCATTGGGAAATAGAAATGAAAGAAGAGAAGGTGAGAAATTGAAAACAAGATAACTAGTACCGAGTTGATAATATCCTGACAGTAGATGGGGCTCATGTAGTATAACACATCATGAACTGTTGCAATGAGCATGACACGCAAACCCTGTACACCATCTAAAGTAATCTTTTCAACTGCAGTTTTGCCACTGAGCTTCAAACCTTTTCTCCACTGAAACACAAATACAGTGGCATAAGGAACACACTTCAATGAACCAACAACAACAATATAAGAAAACAAGAGAAAGAAGATTTTGCTATGGAAACAAATATAAAGTGATAGAGAATACACACTTCAGCATACAAAATGACAACAATATCAGACATGACTCTTTTAAATGATTCCAAACCGATGGCAGTAGACTAAAAATTTTTGACACCTGTCCAAAGTAAAAATCTTTCTTGATGGAAAATGATTACAAATTTTCACATGACAAAAAGTAAGTGTTACAGACGTATATAACTTCTTAGATTATAGGGATCACATTAAAATCCTGGATTATAGGGATCACTTGCATTCTAATAGAGATTGATCACCTACCTAGTTTAGAACACTACAAGTGTATATAAATATGTATCCTTTTAAGCTATGTATGAGAAGTGTGTGTGAATATTCATCCTTAGTACGTTTATTTACATGGTATTTGAGCCTTAAAAGGTAATTAGGGTTTGGGTTTCAAAATTGGGAAATTAGGGTTTGGGTTTCAAAATTGGGAACACCTGTTTAGGTTGAAATTTGTTTAACACCGCCACCCTAAGGAGATTCAGAAGCCGATCGGCAAAACCCCGAGTTCCGGCCATCAGTATCCCCACACGTGAGCTCCATGCGCCACCTGAAACTCTGGTGAACAGTACCACGCATCGGCGCGTAAGAGTGCGTCCACCGCTAACGTCTCCTCCGATTATCTTCGTCAGCTTCGCCGGTACTTGTACAACACATTTTCGTGCTAGATTGGGTAATCTCTTACTAGTTCACTGATGTTCTTTGTTTAGATATTTCTGAGGATTTAGTTGTGATCTTTTGGCACTTTGTTTTCGTTTGGTTATTGGATTTTTGTTGTGCTGTGGCCTCTGGTTGGTGGTGGCTGTTGATTGATTTGGTGTGTCACTGAAATTTGGTTAGTTTGCTTTGTTTTAACCGTTTGTTGGTGTGCATTGGGATTATCATCTGTTTAAGACATGTCTGATACAAAGCCGGTGATGGAAATGATACCGACGATGTCGAAAATTACAGAACACAAGCTCATTGGTATAACTAATTATCATGATTGGCGTAAAACTATTATACTGTATTTGTGGAGTATTGATAAAGATGTCATATGACTGATGATCCACCTGAGGATGATTCGAAAAAGACATGGCTCCAGGATGATGCTCGGTTGATTCTACAAATACAGAACTCTATTGACGGCGAGATACTTGGCCTAATTAATCATTGTGAGTTTATTAAAAAACTGATTGATTATTTGGAGTTTCTGTATTCTGGAAAAGGGAATGTTTCTTATATTTATGAAGTGTGTAAGGCATTCTACCATGCAGAGAAACAAGATAAGTCTCTTACATCTTATTTTATGGAGTTTAAGAAGACTTATGAAGTGTTGAACATGTTGTTACCCTTCAGTGCTGATGTCAAAGTTCAACAAAAACAACGGGAGCAAATGGCAGTCATGAGTTTTCTTGCAGGTCTTCCTTCTGAATTTGAGACTGCTAAGTCTCAGGTTCTAGCTAGTCTAGAGATCTCTTCGTTGCAGGATGTCTTTAGTAGGGTACTTCGAACAAAAGGTACCCCACCGGTTAAGTTTAGTGGTGCTCCCGTCAGTCAAAAGAATGACTGAATCTGGACGATCACAATTTGGAAATAGCAACAGAGGAGGAGGATCAAATAGTAATATGGGAGGAATTGTGTGTGAATATTGCCATAAGCCAGGACACATAAAGCGTGATTGTAGAAAGCTTCAAAACAGAAATAAAAGAAATCCCTCTGCCCATGTTGCATCCACTAATGATACTTCGGATCAGTCAGTTCTTATCTCTGCAGATGAATTTGCCAAGTTTTCATTGTACCAGGAATCATTAAAAGCTTCACCTACTCCTGTCACGGCTATGGTTGACTCAAGTAAGCTAAATACATGTCTCATTTCCTCATCCTCCAAATTCGTCATTGACTCTGGTGTAACAGATCACATGTCAGGTAATCCCAGTCTCTTTGCTACTTATCAATCAAAAACCATTTCGAATGTGACTTTGGTAGATGGGTCACCATCCTACGTTCTTGGGTTTGGCACAGTTACCCCTACTCCATAGCTTCCCTTGTCAAATGTGTTACATTTACCAGATTTTTCTTTCAATTTGATTTCTGTTAGCCAACTTACTCGTGCTCTTAACTGTTGTGTTTTATTCTTTCCCGATTATTGCTTGTTTCAGGATCTTACGACGAAGTAGATTATTGGTAAAGGACATGAATCTGGAGGTTTATATATTCTCGACAGACCAAAATCTACACCTATCGCTTGTTCTGGCGTTGCATCCCCGTTTCAAGCACATTGTCGTTTGGGCCATCCATCTCTTCCTTCACTGAAGAGATTGTGTCCTCAGGTTAATAAAGTGTCTACATTAGAGTGAGTCATGTCAGTTTGCTAAACATCATCAGGTCAGTTCTAGTCCTAGAGTCAATAAAAGAGCTAATTCTCCCTTTGAATTAGTTCACTCTGATGTTTGGGGTCCCTTCCAGTTCTGTCTAAAACTGGTTTTAGATATTTTGTTACATTTGTGGACGATTACTCTCGTATGACTTGGTTATTCTTAATGAAAAATCGTTCTGATTTGTTTTCTTATTTCTGTGCTTTTTGTATTGAGATTAAAACTCAATTCAATGTTTCTGTTCATACATTGCACAGTGATAATGCAAAAGAATATCTGTCAGTTTCTTTTCAAAATTACATGACTCAGAATGACATTCTTCATGAAAATTCATGTGTTGATACTCCATCTCAAAACGGAATAGCAGAACGGAAAAACAGACATCTTCTTGAAACTGCCAGAGCCTTATTATTCCAAATGAATGTTCCTAAACCATTCTGGGTTAATGCAATTTCCACCGCCTGCTTTTTGATTAACCACATGCCATCTTCTGTCCTTCATGGTGAGACCCCGTACATTATTCTTTTTCCTAACAAAGCATTATTTCCTCTTGAACTTAGGGTTTTTGATAGCACTTGCTTTGTTCGGGATGTTCGACCATCAGTCACTAAATTAGATCCCAAGTCATTAAAATATGTCTTTTTTGGTTATTCTCGACTTCAGAAAAGATATCGGTGTTATTGTCCAAGTCTTAATAAGTATCTTGTTTCCATTGATGTTGCCTTTCTAGAAGAAACACCATACTTTCGCTCTTCTCTTGCAGATCGTCAAAAGGATAATGATAATGATGATTTGTTAATTTATACCTTCACTTCTCCTGCACCGATATCTGAACCGATGCCTATCTCTGACCCTGTCACTATTCCTGTGCTTCCTACATCGGCTCCTATCTCTGATCTTGCTTCTGTCAAAGTTTACTCTCGTCGTCGACCTCCTTCTTTTTCATGTCCGGCACCAACTTCTTCATCATCCGATCCAGTTTAAAGTGATGATCTTCCTATTGCATTGCGAAAAGGTAAACGACAGTGTACTTATCCTGTTTTTTCTTGTGTTTCTTATGATCATTTGTCACATTCATCATGCTCCTTTATTGCTTCCCTTGATTCTATTACTATCCCTAAAACTGTTCATGAAGCCCTTTCTCATCCTGGTTGGCGTAATGCAATGATAGAGGAAATGAATGCCTTAGATGACAATAGTACTTGGAAATTGGTAGATTTACCTTTAGGGAAACAGGCAATTGGATGCAAATGGGTGTTTACAGTTAAAGTTAATTCAGATGGGTCAGTTGCTCGACTAAAAGCTCGTCTGGTTGCTAAAGGATATGCTCAGACCTACGGAGTTGATTATTCTGATACTTTTTCCCCTGTGGCTAAGTTCACCTCTATTCGGCTGTTTATCTCTATGGCAGCTACTTATGATTGACCTTTGCATCAGCTAGACATCAAGAATACTTTTCTTCACGGCGATCTTCAGGAAGAGGTATATATGGAGCAACCTCCTACGTTTGTTGCTCAGGGGGAGTATGGGAAAGTATGTTATCTTCGCAAATCTCTGTATGGTTTAAAACAAAGTGCTCGTGCTTGGTTTGGAAAGTTTAGTCAGGCTGTTGAGAGATTCAGTATGCTAAAATGTAAAACTGACCATTCTATTTTCTACAAACGGTCTAAAACTAGCATCATTCTTCTAGTTGTGTATGTGGATGGTATTGTTATTACTGGGAGTGATAGTGTGGGCATCACATCTCTTAAGTCTTTTCTCCATACCCAGTTCCACACAAAAGACTTAGGGATATTGAAGTATTTCTTGGGGGTTGAAGTTACAAGGAGCAAACGAGGTATATTCCTCTCTCAGAGGAAATATGTGCTCGACTCATTAAATGAGACAGGGAAATTGGGGACAAAGCCATGTAGTGTTCCGATGGTTCCTAATATGCAGCTTACGAAAGATGGTGAACTATTTGGAGATCCTGAGAAATATAGAAGATTGGTCGGGAAGTTGAACTATCTTACGGTGATTCGTCCAGATATTGCATATTCAGTAAGTGTTGTCAGTCAGTTTATGGCCTCCCCAACAGTTCATCATTGGGCAACTTTGGAGCAGATCTTGTGTTATTTGAAAAGAGCCCCTGGACGTGGTATATTATATGCCAATCATAGTCACTCTCATATGGAATGTTTCTCAGATGCAGATTAGGCAGGTTCCAAGGTAGATAGAAGATCCATATTAGGCTATTGTATCTTTGTCGGAGGAAATTTAATATCATGAAAGAGCAAGAAGCAGAATGTCGTGTCACGATGAAGTGTAGAGTCAGAATATAGGGCTATGGCACAAGCTGTTTGTGAAATAATGTGGATATATCATCTACCTAGTTTAGAACACTACAAGTGTATATAAATATGTATCCTTTTAAGCTATGTATGAGAAGTGTGTGTGAATATTCATCCTTAGTACGTTAAATTACAGTAAGCAATTAAGAATAAGTGACGACATGATGATATATCTGTAAAAATAGACAAATAAGAGATATAC